TAGCCGACACCAAGAGCGGCAAAAAACGTAAATGGGACGCTGCTGTTGGTGGAATAGACCATGAACAAGAGCAGAAAGGAGGTGATGGTTTCAGTTTTGGTTTCGGCGGCGATGGTGATGATGTTGAAATACCCTAGAAAGACTCACCCTTTCTATCCTCGTAATTCGATCCAAGTTAGCGACTTACCAGTATAACTCCTTTCCTAGGTAGAAGCGAAATATGGGAGAGTTCGCCGAAGCCAGCCCCCCATCCTGCAAGACATAACAGCAAGAGCTATGATACGCTCGGCGACTATGAGCCTGATGTAATCGGGCAATTGGCAGTTAATAAACGATGAACGACGGTCTGTACAATGATCAAATGTAGGTATATTGCATGAATGTGGCGCCTGAGAGTCAGACAGAATGTGTTATTCGTTAGAACTGAAACATCTATACTTGTTGTTATGATCAGACTCTTACTCAGCCTCGAAATCACTCAATCAGGCCATGTGATAGTTTCTTTTGTCTTTGAAAACACTACTGAGATCTGACTAGGTACTAACCTAGTGACATGACCTTGCTAAAACGGAGGAAAGGGGAGGTTCTCTGTCACCGAAAATTTGTGTTCTACTACCTACTATGTATGGTTGTGAACCTCTTTTCGTACTAGGAGCCGAATTTATCGTGTCTGTCGTGGGCAGCAAGGTCAGAAAAGTCACATGATCTAATATAACATCTAAGACTCCTTTATTTGATCACCAGCGATAAATGTGAAAGCAGACAGTCATCGTCGAATACGTGATGCCATTCAGGACTGGGCTGGTTTGGCTGAATGAGTGCCCAGCTAGAAATAAGGCGACTGAATATTGAAACAATAACTAAAGTTAGAACAATAGTGATTGTACTATACTGAAAGTGCCAAAGTTGTCTTCAGCCTGTGTTTATTCAACCTTGATTGGCCTTATGCAAGTATTCAGAGGCTAATGCCTCAAGGGATCTAACTTATTAATAACGAGCCAGCCATGCCTCACATTTGCCTCATGCTGTCCAGGCTGCCAGTTATGAACTTACGGATACATACCTACTACCTAACTAATAGGCACCAATCAGCCAATGTGCACATACTGGATGTCTCTGCTAACAGAGCCGACGTCTTGCAATTCCGAAACATGATCTGAATCACTTTCCCCCCTAACTTATTAAACAACAAATAATACTTGTGATGAAGATGGGGTGCTGCACCTCCACTGCATCATCCCCACCCATATACACTACAGTACCTTACTGTGCTACTATGTATGAGGTGGTAACTTTCCTCGACCTGCCACCCTACTACCTTATACCTAAGGTAGGTACTTAGCCTAGATACTAGGTACGGTACTAACCTAGTCACTGTAAGGTAAAGTATGGTAAGGTATGGACTATGGAGTTGATTCACGAACCCTCTACAGCTTAGCATCTCGTCTCCCTGAAGGCTTCCCGGGGGCCGTGTACTCCCCACTCGGCTTCCCGTCCGCCCTCCACCTTTCTATTACCCTACCTAGGTACCTAGTGATTGGACCAGTCTTAAGCTGTCGGGTCCCTAACACTGCATCATCTCCCATCCTCCTCCTTTTCACCGTTGTACCTAATTAATCTTTTGCTTGAATGCGCTTGCGCTTCTCTTTGTTTTCGCCTTCACTGTCAATTCGAATTTCACTTTTCGTTTCCCTTTCCCTTTTATTTCGTCTCCTCTGCGTTCTTATTCTTGATTCCTATTCTCCTCCTTCTGCTTTTCTTGCCATACCTTTTAATCTGTAAGTTCCTGTTGCTAACCCCCGCCGCCATCTGGCCTAGAGCTGGACTCTATGTTCAACTCTCCACTGTCTGTCTGTTCTTCAAGCTCCTCCGCCTTACCTCTTATATCGTCTACACGTAGCAAAGCTAATCGAAGACTATGTAGCCTCTGCATCTTCTTGTTCTTCTAGCAGAACACCACTGTACAAGCTCGAAACACGGTTCCAGATACTGCTGCGCTTCGCATCAGCTCCACATCAGCTTAGATACCCCTGTTCCGCTATTGTGAGCCTCGATCTGCTCTGAGCAAGCTGTCCATAGCTTCGACCCCTTTCCGTGCGAACCGCATTGAATAAAATAAGTCGGCATCATGGTTTCCGACGAGCACTTCGAGATGTGCTTGCCGATCTTGCAAGATGCCACACTAGAAGACGAGGATAAGACAGATAGGCTCGAGGAGCTCTTCCGCAAAGAAACGAGCCTCACCGGCACTTCCCTCGACAACGCAATACTAGATGCTCTCTGGCGGTTTCGTGACGGCGGCGGCACGTCAGCGTCACCCCCTCCTATTAGACAGACGATCTTGCGACGCCCTTCACCTGCCTCCTGGCGCGGTTCGCCTACTCCCATGTCGGGCTCTCCAAGACTGGCCGTGAGCCCTCTTGCCCCTCCGGGCTTTGTTCCCTCCACCTTTGGCAGGACAATCTCCTCCACGGTTTCTCCCTTTTCTTCGCCTCGAGCATCGCCACGTCTGGCTCTTGCGACACCCGTCATTCCTCATAGTCCAAACTTGAATGCATACGAATTTGCTAGCGACCCGACCCCGGCCACAGAGATCCTAGGTGAATACCAGACGGAAAATGTTGAATGGCTCGTCAGTGACGATGCCGCCAGTGTGACTTCATCTGTTGGTACTCCAAGTGCTCTCAACGCAGCAGCCCCTGAGTTCTCGTCCATGTCGGCACAGTCAGCTGATATGTCGCCATATGATATGTTGCGTTCCATCCTTGGGCAGACAAAGTCGGATGATGAGATCGAAGCCGCTCTCGCGCAGAATGGATACGATCTCAGTGCAACCATTGTCTCCTTTATGGAAAGCCAAGCAGGGGACAACCAGCCCGGCGGTGTTTCATTGGAAGAACCTAAAAACGTCCTGATTGGGAAATCCGTGGATCGTCCTACTACTCCTCTAGGTTCATCCAAGTCGGGGGTTATTTGCAAGTTCTATATGTCGACTGGTTCGTGCTTACGCGCCGATTGCCGATTCAGCCATGATCTTAGCAACCACCTTTGCAAGTATGTTTTCGTCCGAGCCTCTCCATGTTGTAAACTAACATTTCTCTTGCAGATATTGGGTCATGGGGAATTGCTTGGCAGGAGAGACATGCATTTTCTCGCATGATCCTACCAAACTGATGAACAAGCTCGCCCTCGACGGTGCCAGTACGCCACCATCAAAGCACGGCGGTTTACAGTTGGGAGATCTTAACTCATTCCCTTCTCTAAGACCTGGGACCCCCGATCATCTAAGTGGTTTCGCTGGCAGCAACAATTTCCCCGCCGTGGGCATTACGCCACCACCAGGCTTGAAGCATTTCCAGGGAACTTCCAGTCCCCGTGCTCGATCTCGCCCAAGCAGTCGACATCAGACCAGAGAGCCAGATATCTCCGCCCCTGCTCTGGATGACAACGATGCCTTCCCTTCACTTGGTTCTGCATCTATCAAGCAAGGCAAGAAGCACCATGGCAAGCGAGGTGGCCATGGACATTCGCACAAGGAGAATAACGCGCCTAACTCTCTGGCTGATATTGTCAAGATGTCTCCCTCGCCCACCCCTGTCCGTCCGGAACTCAAGAGAGGGCTGGGGCGCAATGGAAGCTCGACAGTTGCACGAAATGGGGAAAACAGCGCTGCAGCTCAGGCCATCCCCAGTCCTAAACATATCCCGTGGCTGGAGACCGGCGAGCGTGCTAACAAGGCATATCTGAAGGCTCGCCAGGAGGCCATTAAGCACGGCGGCCTTCGTAATAAATTTCTTCAAAGGTGTGTGTTCTCGCAATAAGAATTGGGGTTTTCCGTGTGCTGACTGGCTGTCACAGTGCTGCACAAGCATGGAATCGCAATGACGCTAGGGCGGCTAAAGCTCTGAGCCTGCGAGGACAAAGTGAGAACGATCTTATGCGCAAAGCTCATCGCGAGGCTGCAAAAGAACTATACGAGGAACGTAACAGGGCCAACTCCAATGATTTGGAATTGTATGTCGATCTTCACGGTCTTCACCCTGAAGAAGCTGTCGAGTACCTTGAAAAGGTTTTGATGGAAAACGGTAGGGAGTCGCAACCCATTTATGCCATCACCGGCTCTGGACACCACAGTAAGAACGGAAAGGACAAGGTTGGCAGGGCGATCCGGAACTTTCTCAACGAGTGGAGGTATGCTTACCGAGAGTTCTCGGTTCCTGGAGACCGCAATAATATGGGGGGTATCCTGGGAATCGATGCTCGTAGCTGGGACAAGTCTCTCGCCAAGGAGGGCGACTCAGATGGTAAAGAAGAGGTGGACATACTAAGCCAAGGCGTCGAGATTGGCGACGGCAAAGTCAGACTCCTGGTGCGTGATCCGCCCAAGGGGCCCAGCGGCCGTCGATGACAATGCGAGACGTAAATAGAAGAAAGCAGTAAAATCAGACTCCAATCTATAAGCTAATGTGTTGAAAGTTGCATGTGATACCTGTCGCGACATTTAGTCACTACCTAGGTATCTTACCTTGGATCGACTTCGATACCTTATTAGTAGGTGCCCTCCATTTGATATATACATACATACAAGCCCCATCATGTATTGACAGGACAGGATTAGCGCCATGCTTAGCGGGGCGCTTCCGCCCGAGATTCGCTGAGAATAGCAACGTCATGTAACTCTGGCGCAGCCCCAATGAAACCACGACGACAGTTCCAGCTCTACAACATCGCCATTAGATCTTCTTCAAGCAATATCGAATGCGAAAATACGATTGTTGGCTGGTAAATTCGGGGCCCTGATCTTTTATACTACCAGAAAGCCATCCTGACCCTATCCTCAAGGTCTTCAATCTCACACTATAGCCTCATTTCCATCCGCGCGTTCCGAATCTCACCTACCTATCCGAAATCCAATACACAGACATGGCCACATAGCCTCCATCAGAACTCAACTCCAATTCCTACCCAGTCAATCGAAACTCAAGATCTTTTCGTTAAAGATGCCTGCGGATTACAACTCAGCCGCCCAGGCTCTCGCCCTGTCTCCAGACCGTGGCTCATCTCCCTCACCAAATCGTCCTCCCTGGTCTGCGACGTCCTCGAGCCGCCGTTTATCGAACCCGCTGATGAACCGTCGCCGCGCGAGTAGTAGCTATGCTGGCGGTGGTAAGACGAGCTTCGTACGCCGCATCTGGGGTACGGTCAATCTGCTTGGTGAGCAGGTTCTGAAGGTGTATCTGCGTTTGTCACCTTTCCAGCGGATTCTTGCCCTCGTAGGCGTCGTCGCAGCGGGTGTGCTTGGTATTTTGGCTATTATCTACTCGCATGTCTTCTTCAAATGGCTTGAGCCAAAGGCGGAGCAGTGGCGCGCTCTTCCAGGAGGTTGGACTCTGGCCTTTCTGCTGGTCTTCGTTACTTCGTTCCCTCCGATTGTTGGATACTCGACCGCAAGCACAATCGCGGGTTTTGTGTATGGGTTTCCTTTAGGCTGGCCCATTGTTGCGTCCGGATGCACGGCCGGTGCCCTTTGTGCGTTCCTTGCGAGCAGAACTGTTTTAAGCAGCTATGTTGATCGCATGGTTGGTCAGGATCATCGCTTCGTCGCTCTGGGTCAAGTGTTGCGCCAGGAGGGAATTTGGTATCTTACGGCTATCCGATTCTGTCCACTTCCGTTCAGTCTGAGTAATGGCTTCCTCGCCACTATTCCTAGCATTACACCTCTGGCGTTCACCATTTCCACAGCATTGTCAAGGTATGTTCACTAATGAATAGTATTTGCCCGGGTCCTGATCGCTGATGCCAATATGATTTCAGCCCCAAACTCCTCGTCCACGTTTTCATCGGCAGTCGTCTTGCTCTGCTAGCCGAGAAGGGCGATAAGATGTCCGCCGGTAGCAAAGCCATCAATTATTTAAGCATGATTTTGGGTGCTGGAATTGGTCTTATCGTTGGGCTCATCATTTACCGTCGTACTATGGCTCGCGCCGAAGAGCTCGCGCGTCAAGAAGGCCTTGAGCCTACAGGTCTATCAGCTGAGGAGGGCGAGGCCGGCTATGCAGACTCTGAAAACTCGATGCTCATGGATCCTGAAGACGCAGCCGTGTTGATGTCGGACGATGATATTTCACTGTGGGGTAGAGATGGGACAGAGGGCAGATATCACGATGATGATGAAGAGGATGAGGGAGACACCAATAATAGGGGGGACCGAAGGGTATGAAGTCACATTTTAACGGGAAGCTCGACGCAAGTTGGGGATAGTAATGACCAGATCATTCAATACTAAAGGTATGGATATTGGGCACGGCTCGGTTATATTGATTATACATCTTTAAACGGACTAGACGGCGTTTCGGGCATCATTATATTGGAAGATCCCTGGGCGCCAGTATTCAGTTGTAATTGGGATAATAGAGGACGATGAGATGATGTGTTTGTATCAACTGCTTGTTCAAAACCATCAGAGCCAATATTGAATATCGTTACGCCACAATCAAAGCATGTAATCAATGGCAACTTGTGGCTGCTATGTCCGCCCGATCACTATGTGTTGAGATAAAATCTACAAAGTCTTTCGTAATGCCATCGCTTGCATCCCATGAAATCGAATTCGCCAACGCCGTCGCTTATGCATTCTTGTCCCAATGCTATAACTGAAAAGTGAAACGCCACCATTATGGGAATTACTGGTTCCCCCTGTATTGGTTCATAAATTGTATAGCTTGATCCATTGGATACCCAATGAAAACAGGCCCAGTGAAGATCATTTGAGGTCTGCCGTTTGTCCCTTTGGTCATATCAGGGTTGATGAAGGCAGGTTGCGGAGGTGCCTTATGTTGATGTTGATATTGGTATTGATGTTGATGTTGATGTTGATGTGGAGGGGGTGGAGGCGGCCCGCCCTCCTTATGAGGTGAGGATGAAACCGTGTGTTCCGGAACCTGAGGAGGGGTGTCATGTTTGAATGGTGAGGGTATACCCATGGCAGCCAATTTTGTATGATCAAATGGACATTTGCCTGGCGTCTTCTTTATTGATTCTTGGGCACTGGCAGCAGCTTGAGCGGAGATCGGCATGCAGACAGGCGCTGGTGGTGGTGAGAGAGGTTGGTCGTCGCCTTGACCTGAGAGGTCGTAGACTGGAATAGATATTCCCCAAGGCCGACTGGGCGATTCTCCAACACGTACTTCCTTGAGGGGCCGATCGAAATGACTCTGCCGGTCTCCATCCTCCAAAGTCGGCACCTGTGTATTATCTGGGTCCGAGTTTACACTAACAGCCTGTGCCCAGTTCTCAACTCTTTCATTAGATGGCTGGGCCACGTCATTTGGTCGATTCGGATCCTGTTCAGCCTCGGGTAGCATGGGCTGGTGAAGCTGGCCCAGCCCTTCAATCATGCTCACTATATCGCCATATTTGGAATCTATCTTCTTGATTTGATCTTCGTCACGTTGGTACCGGCGGAGGCAAACTTCATGGCTTCGGGGGAGTTCATGTTTGTGCGTCTCAACATAGTGGGCGATCTCCTCAGCCGAATGTTTGTCCATGTAACGAATGGGACACTTGACGGCTGATGAGCCGTTTGTGTTTGTGCGGGCTTGCTGAGAAGTAGATTCTTCGTACATGGCTGCGCAGATAGGGTCCGTCGAATGATGAGGAGTTGTGTCCTGTGCATCTTCGTCGCGGACCCCAGAGCCGCTAACCGTGGCAGGCTTGGAGAACGGGCATTGAAGATGGCCCTTCTTTCCTTGGACCGTGAAGTCTTGTTCTAGCGCTGTCGACATGGAAGTGGCTACGTGGGAAGGTTGCGACTCGGTCTCTCTGCTGGAGCCAGTGCCAGTGGTTTTACTCGTTTCGCCCAGCGAGGCGAGCTGATTAGCTACTCGGCGTCCGTCACGGATGACGAGGGCAAGCTGGTGTTGGGAACCGGAGCTGTACGCGCGTGGAAGAGGAACAGGCAATGAATTATCAACAGATGTATACGGAGGTATCTGGAGCTTAGCCAGGGTATCAGCTATTTCTGGCGCGGCTGGAGCATATTTGTCAGCCAGATACTGGAACTGTTTTTGATTTCGAGTCAGCGATGAGTCCATTGCGGATGATGGAAGAAAAGGATGCTGATAGGTCAGATATCAGAAAAAATAGGTTATCAATCTCGGCAACAGTGTCATTCATCCTGATGCTCTTGATCTAGAGCTAATGATATTCATCATGCTGACTTGGTAGGGAGTAGGAGAAAGAAGCCGACAACTCCGGTATCGCCGAAACAATCCCAGGACGTTGCACGGCCAGGACATGTATGTAGACAGGTATTGGGGGGGCGAAGCCGGGTTCTAGGCTTGGAACTAGGTACTGCATGGGGTAGAAAATATTTATTCTTACCTGTTCATGGGCAAAGCGAAGCTTGTGCTCCAAGACGGTCTTTCGATCTGTCAAGGTCTGAACTTCATCAGCAAGGGCGTTGAAAGCATCTGCCAACGTGTGCGCAAGATGAAGATATGCCATGCCCTTGGCTGTGAGTGAGTGCGATAGAGAAAGAGAAGAGGAAGAAGAAAGTTGAAAAATAAGAAGAGGAGATGAAATATTTATTAGATGGGGAAGAAAGAGGAAAAGAGATTTGCTACCTAAGTTAGATCCCGAGAGCAGTGCTGTTGCCAGAGCAAGGCGACAGCAAAGTGGAGAGATAATGACACTGATTGGCCTGCTTATATGCGACAGCGGGTACGGCAGGCTGGCAGCTAAAAATTAGGGTCCTTCCATCCTCCGGGCAGTGTGCTTGCTTCGGGCGGGGGGACAGGACGAATTAAGTTGCCCGGAATTTAGAGCCGAGCCACTTCGGAGCGGAAAGTTCGTGATTCGCAAGAGGGCCCAGGACATGATGATGAGGCTCTATTGGCTCCATGTTGTATGTTCCCTTCCTAGGTTACGCTTCTACCTAGTGCCTACCTCGACTACTCGAGTACCTATAATGTGGTCTGACGCACCATGTGCTGGCAGTGGGTGCTCCCTGTCCAGGTTGGTACCTAGCGCAAATCCCGGTCCTTTCAGAGCGGAGGTGAAGCGCATGGAGGCCGAGACAGCGGATGCTAAGTTGATATAGAAGCCAAAAGCTACCCTATAGACGTCTTTGACCAACCGCTGTAGTCAATTCCTCAAGTCAGGTAATGACAGATCGAACAGATTGTCTGGGTGACCGGGTCTTATTGGATAGGTAATTAACTATAATTCTTTAGGGATTGCATGTTTTGGATTTAAGCATAACCCACACAGAAGAAATCCACGAAACGATACCTGTATTCAGGACTATCATAATTACAAATACAGTTCGAGAACATGTTGATTTAATACATTCAATTTGGACTTTTACAGAATATGACAGTAAATCCAGGCTAATATAAGCCAGTGTCATTTGAAGAAAGGGCCAAGTGATTCCTAATCAAGAACTGCCTATCGATTCACCTACCAGAGTAGGTAAGAGGTAGAATAGTAGGTAGGTGGTTTGGCATTCAACATCCATCTTACCCACCAACCCCGCCATCACTAAAACACCATCACTACCTATCACCCCCTGCTATCGTAACACGAGTTACCATGTCTACGCCTGATAACTTGTCCATCCCCCAAGCCGAACTGGTCAGCAGGAAAGCTTACGTGCTGCCCGGGCAATTATGTGTCACGGAGCTCTTCTTCAAAGTGCCTCTTGACTATACGGATATCCAAGGCCCTTCCATCACGCTATTTGCACGTGCTGTCAAGAAACACGATGTTCCCATATTCCCACCCGATGTTGAAGAGTCAGAGAACAGCCCAAAAGACGAATTTGGCGAGCCCCCAAAACCATACATGGTCTATCTTGAGGGAGGGCCGGGCTTTGGCAACCGTGAACCGCAGGATCATCCCCTCACCCGCCACGTTCTTGCAAAGGGATACCAGCTTCTCTTACTTGACCATCGCGGCGTTGGCCTGAGTACACCAGTTGGTGCTGATATGCTAAACCTTGTATCTGGAGACGTTGAAGGGCGCACTCGGTATCTCGGCCTCATGCGCCAGGACAACACAGTCCGGGACTGCGAAGCTGTAAGGAAGTACCTTACCGCCTCATGGCCCGCTGCCAAACAACCATGGTCCATCTTTGGCCAGTCTTACGGAGGTTTCATCGCACTATCCTATTTGTCCATGCATCCAGAAGGCCTTCGGGAAGTCTTTCTCACTGGCGGCCTAGCCCCTGTGGGTAAGAAGCCTGATCAAGTATATGAAGCAACATTCCGACGGGTCATACAGCGCAACGAGCAGTACTACGAAAAATTCCCAGAGGACGTCGAAAACGTCCGCCAAGTGGCTAAATTCATAGAGAGTAAAGGTGGCAGTATTCCGTTGCCATCTGGCGGTGTCCTCACCGTTCCTCGTCTCCTGACCATAGGCATTTCCTTTGGAAGCCATGGTGGCTTCGACCAGGTTCACTCTACGATCCTGACTTTAAAAGCATCTCTCGACCAATTCGGGTTTTTCAACAGAGCATCCCTCGTACCGCTTGAAGGCTGGAACCCATTTGATACCAACATCATATACGCCATCCTTCACGAAGCCATATATTGTGACGGCCCTGGTTTAGCCTCCGCCTGGTCAGCCAACCGCATTGGAAAAGAACTCAAGCCATTCTCCTGGCTGAATGACAACTACTCAACGGAATCTACCAGCGGATGCCTCTACTTCTCCGGAGAAATGATCTTCCCATTTCACTTCGAAACTTACCCAGAACTCCAGATACTTCGCCAAGAGGCTGAGTTGTTGGCCAGTCGCGATACCTGGCCTGCTCTTTACGATCAGGAGAAGCTCCACAAGAATAAAGTTCCTGTATATGCCGCTTCTTTCGTTGAGGATATGTACGTCGACTATAACTTTGCAAGAGACACAGCCAAGCTTGTCAAGGGTACAAAGACTTTTGAGACGAACGTCATGTATCACTCGGCATTGAGAGCGAAATCGGATGAGGTGCTGCAGCAATTGTTTAGCCTGAGAGACGATGTCATTGACTAGATTTGGATGTCTTGCAAGACTGGCATACCTGCAGAAGTTGAAGCCACCAGGAAGAATAACTTTACGCGAAGGCGAGATAGATATGAGAGCTGGTACCTACTTTATTCAAGTAAAAAAAAGAAGAAGAAAAAAGAAGAAGAAAAAAGAAACAAGAAATATAATCTCCAGTGACTATATTCACAGTGTACCGAACCGGCCTCCAGTGTGTAGACGCAACAGCATAGAACAACGACCGCAAACCGCACCGAGTTTTATAACTATGACTAGTGATAGGCTCGTGTTCGCGCAGGCGCACGACCCAAGTTCTGCCACTCGTCTTCATAAGCCGCAGTATTGACATGCTCCATCGATGGCAAATCCGCCTTCGGCTGCGAATTCCTCATGACTGTCTCTCGTAGAATGGTAGCAGCGAGCTCTGGGTTGCTCACCAAGAACTCGCTTGTCTCTACAGGCGCGCGCTTCCAGAGAAGCGGCTGAAGGAAACCAACGCGTGCCATGACCATCTTGAGCAAGGCATCAACTTCTGGCACGCTGCGATAGAGTTTTCTGCAAAGATGCATCATCTTTGGTTGTGCAGCATCCCAGCCTGCTGTCTCGAGCATATCGACACACGACCGCATCACTGCCTTTCGAAAGTCGTCCATAAGATAACGTGTCGCGCAAATATAAACGTCGAGGTTGAGCTCATACGCCAGGAACCACGTCCGAAGATCCTCTCCTGTGATACGCTCCGGTTGGCTCTGTTGAGGAGGCATCGGAATGCTGACAGGAGGAGGGAAAACACCTGGGGGATGGATCCCTCTTCTTGGAGCCCCTCGACCATAAGGCACTGGCACGGGAGTATTGCCCTCGCGGGATCGTTGAGCCCCGCATTGCCAGCATCTCGAAAAGTCACGCCGCGCGAGGCATCGAGGACACGAGCAACCCGGTCGATGATGTCCCGGATGCTTCTCCTGGGTTTCTTCCGCCTCAGCATGTCTCGTTTGTCGAGCCCGACGCCGACGTCTCCATGAGGTACCCGAGCTCCCAGAACTGCTACTACTACTTGACGAGCTCGAATCAGAAGCCTCTGCTGGCTCTGAGTCAACTTCAATACCCTTTCCCTTATCGACTTCTGGTTCTACTGGCACATTAGTACTCGTGGGTTCAGGAATAGGCTGTAAGCTGGCTGATTCACCTAAAACGCTCGCTGCTGGCTTGATGGGTTCATAGCAACCCTCGTATAGAAATGCAACAAGAAAATGAAAGATAGCCGGATCCTCCTCTGGCAGATCAATGAATTGCTCACTTGCTTCTCTGAAGTTTCCGCATAGGGCTTTTTGGAACCACTCTGCCTGAACAAGTATATCTTTGTGAACCTGGAACCCTGTTAGTTCAACTGGCCTCCATCTCGACAGATCGATACCTTTACATACGTAGAAGGTTTGCATGTTGTTCAAAGGACCAACCCGTATTGGCACAGGCGCAGAGCAATATCGGCCGTCTGCTGAACTGACCCAGAGGTCTTCTGTTGTGCTAGGGAGATGTTCTTCTTTCTCCTCATCGTAGACTCTGTCTATCACGATAACCTGAGGCTGAGGAACGCCCATGGCATCGGCCAAGGTGTGCACTGTGACAGTTGAGCCTGCGCTTTCTGCATTTCCCGCATCTTCTGCCATAGGTAACAAGGCTTAGTACCCAGTACTGATCGATTTCGGACCAGTATTTATTTCTCTAATCAAGAGATGGCGTAAAGGCGCGTGCAAAGCGTAAAATGAGGCTTTCAGAACGTTCTGTCTCCCGGAACACGGTGGAAAATAGGACTAGAAATAGACATAGGCAGGCATCTATCACACACACACATATTACACACCACCTTGGCGTTCGGTCTAAGCCTAGAAACAGCCAGCAACATGTCAAGCATGTGGATGGTAGATGGCTACCAATTGAGTACCACAGCCGCCCAACCATCTGGCTGTATTCTGGCGCAGAATAAGCAAGGCGCACACGACGTGCAGCGGTACAAGCGCTTGGTGGGCATAACAAGACAATGCTTGGTCACCAAAAGACCAATCGCTGACAGGTCACGTCTTCATCGAGTTTCTGAACATTCTCAGCAAACAGGCCACCGGAAAATGATCAGTCACGCCTCCTGCACGAACAAGGGACATCTCCCCATCCATTTCCTCTAACGCAACATTTTTCTCAATTCTTTGCTCAAGGCGGCGGCAATCCGGCTGGACTAAAACAGGGGTAAATTCCTCCAATTCCTAACCTTGGATCTATGCCTCCGCTCCCACGCATATTATCGACGCGCGTCTGCGAACGACAAATGCTTCATGAATTGATCTCAATCTGGGGGCTGGTTCAACTCACCATCCTTACAGTCTGGTGTTTGTGATCAATGTTTGCCAGTACACACGCTGACTCGCGAGGCACATGTCTTCCTCAGGCGTGCAATCCTAGGCCACCCGATACGCTGGATGCAGCCATCTATCACGCGCCTGCATTCACATTTAATGTCCGACTTCCCCCCTTTTATCTTTTTGCTTCCCTAGGCCTGTACTCACCGAAATGGAAGCCGTGGTAGGATTCTATAACACTCGCCAGCCCTGTTGTTGCCCACTGGTGCAGTTTCTGGACGTGGCTATTCCTCCTCTATCTCTGCCTGCATTTGGAGTTCTTCAGGAACCATGTTAGGCTTGTCAGGTAGAACAGAGGTCAAGACAACTCACTCCAAATCTTGCTTGCAGCATCTGATATGACTTTGGCCTTGACAAGAAGTTTCTCTTCGTATTTCTCATTGTCCTTACCTTTTAAACGGATCTTGTTTGGTTGAGCCTGCGCATAAAAATCAGCATTATCCATGTAGGCATTCTCAATAACAGATTGGAACACCAACCTGCATCAATATAGGAAGTAGCTCTGTGGGATCTGCATTCGCGATCGTTGCCACGGTACGAAAACCGTTCTCCCAAAATACCCGCCTGTGATATTTAAGTAACCCTACTTTCTGCCGAGAGCAATGCACTCACGCTGTCCGGCTCTTGATGAAGGGAATCTTTGCCAAGGCCAATAGGTCAGCTCTTGCACCAGCCACGAGCCTGTCTGAAAAGTGCTCAAGAGCTGCGGCCATTACTCTGGATTTTATGGTTAGCTATTCGATATAAGAAGTCGTCAATGAACATACCCCCAGCTCATCTGTTCACAGAACTTGATCATTCCTGCAGCGAACCCTTGACAAGTCTGCGAAAGATTCTGAACCATTCCACGAGGCACATCGTATTTGCGTGCCACTATGTGTATAGGAATCTCGTTACACAGATCCCGCAGTTGGAGAGCGAGATAAAAGCGTCGATGTACTCGAGCAACCTGCTTCTCCTCTGGCGTCGTCTCACGGAGCGTGGCACCTTGAGCACTATTTGGCTGTCAGTGAGTACCCCGTGGCCGTGAACACAACCTACAGCTTGAGTATTGTGGTGGGTTTGATGCCCAGGAGCCTCAGTACCCGTAAACCACTCTCATCCAGACCCTCCATTTCATTCCGAAAGACCTGCCAGTTCACCATAACCCCGAATTCTTGGACAGGCGTAAACGTGTATAAGACGTGCATCTCGCCATCCATGACAAAGGCTTGGAGCGCCCGACTGAGTTCGCTATGGACAAATACACCATCGTCGGGATCGATAGCTGATGCCACGATTGCCCTACCTAGTTGTGTTGCCGTGAACATGGACAAGGAATCGGAGGTCACAAAACCCATTGATTCTATCTCTTCCAAGCTTGAGGTGATACAATCATTCACAAACTTGGCGCTATGAGTATGACTCAACAGAGACTTCGAGAAGTAGTCCACAACGGACTCATGACTCGTAGCTAAGCGTATGGATATGACTTCTAGCAGTGCACTGAAACATGTTAGCTGGCAATCATTCATGCCTCTGAAGGACAGACTCACCGTTGAATACGTCGATTCTCAGTGTTAAGACAGCTGGCAACGGGTGGCAGCTCCGCATTCATGAGATCTACAACTTGCTCGAGGTCGTTTTCGCGGCAGCAGAGATATGTTTCACCGATGGATGCTTTCCCCTGTCTTCCCGCTCGCCCTCGCATTTGCCTCAGCATCGATGGCCCAACAAATTCGCGCCCCATTCGACAGTTGTGTAAAATCACCCGCCTTGCTGGCCTGCAAAAGTTAAATGAAGTGTTTAACAATCGAAACAGCGACTCTTACAGGTTGATACCAGCAGCCAGACTGCAGGTTGCGACACACACTAATAGTGTTCCAGAATCGTAAGCCGCCGCTATGAGATCTCTCTCTTCGGTCGTCAAGCCAGCCTATATAGTCAGAAATGTTCGTGAGCCTCGGTCCGGCCAAGGCGACTTACGTCTAAATTGATTAGGAACACATGCTCGATTCTGCAAAAATGGACGTCTCACTCACGATGAAATGCAACGCCATAAAGGACCGTCTCTTCCAATACTGGATCAACCCCAGTGTTAAGACTCCGAAGCTCTCCCAGCAAGTCCATCCTTCTGTCAACAACGTCAGCCTTGAGCTCATGTGGCTGGGGCATAGCCCGGCTGATCCATCGTGCGTCAGACTCGCACATGCCACGACTTCCGGCAAAGACGAGGGCACCGAAACCAGCAACAGCGGTCTCGTGAGCAAGTGTGACCACTGCATTTAATACTGGGTCGCGAAGCTCCTTGTGGGTGGATGGCTCGATTCGCCGGATGGGCCTCATCTGTGCCTGTGTCTGTGTCTGTGTCTGTGTCTGTGTCTGTGTCTGTGTCTGTGTCTGTGTAGGCCGACTGTTCAGCTGTGCCGCTGTTTTGATGAGACTGCTTGTAGAACCTGCGGGATAAATATTTCCGTCATACACGAGATGTTCCTCGATAGGAACCGGTCGATACCGAGTTTCGTAACAATGCCCTTCGAGCCATCGAGCCATCATGTCCATGTTCTACTACCAAATTAGACGGCTCAAAATGCACCACGAAGTCGACCGACCAACATACCGGGAGAGTGGCACTCATGCCCACAATTTGTACACGCTGCTCCAGGCTGAGCAGTTTGGTCGCCACGAGTTCTAACAAATAGCCTCGATGATCATCATCAACCATGTGTAACTCATCAAGCACAACCGCGCGAAGCTTGGAGATCGAACATTCATCAATAGCCGTATTCACGAGTGCGTTTGCCTTGGAGTGTCAATAATTTACTTGCTTAGCAGACTGGGATCGCGGTACTAGAAACCGACCTTCTCCAATGTGCACACGCCAATATCAAAATCAGCCCAAGTTGCTCTAACTTTTCCACCCCCAAAGAAACCAACGACACGGACTGTGTTCTCATCAGCTCGTCTACGCCATATGCGTTTGTCGTCATCGACCGTTGTTTCAGAGGCGAAGCGTAAGCCTTGTACCACACTACGAAGCCAACGAACTTTCTCTTGAACCAAAGCAACATATGGTAACACAAGGAGGGCCTTTGTTCCCTTTTCTTCCAGGATTCTTTTCAGCATGAGCACTACTAGTGTTAGCTAAGATCCGCTCACTACCGTTATTCATCTCACCGTCAGCCACAAGAGATTTGCCACCGCCAGTCGGTGCACAATATACAAGGTTCTTTTCTCCTGTCAGAAGTCCAGGGCCTTTGAGGCAAGCTTTCTGCCATGGATATATTTGTTTTATGCCAAGTGAAGCAAAATTATCAACGAGCTGTTGAGGAAGTCCATATGTAGAATGGCTTAATTCGAGTTCAGGATCACAAGACGATGTCGGAGTCGCAGCAATAGCTCTCCGTTGAGAATACTCAGACGGCCCGACTCGCTCATCGAGACGAACAATGCGGCTCGCGGAAATTCGAGGAGGGGCAGAGGGGAGACTGACGGCTCGCTGAAATTGAACAGTCGCTCGAGGGGTAGAAGCCCTGAAGTGATGTTCTTCTCCCGCTGTTGATAAACTTCTTTTGTGTCCAGCAACAGAAGTGGTAGCGAATGTAGTCTTTTGTTCATTTGTAGTTTCGACACTGGTTGTGTGCAATAACCCTCGCATGCTCTTCATGATGAGTATCAAAAAGACAAAGGAAACAAGACGAAACAAGACGAAAGCGAAACATGAATGAGCCACCAAGCCCAACAATCCTTTTTGACAGGTCCTCAGCAGGAAATGTGACGTGACACGCGTTGTCTTAACGCGTCCAGAAAAAATCTTGAAACGCCAAATCACGTGGTCAAATTTGAACCAGACGTGGGGTGTCAGGCACGGCGGGCAGCAGCCGATGCAGGGCTTTTGGTGGTGCCCCGCGGCACGATGGAGGGCTGTCATTGGATGGATGCGATCGATTGACGCTAAGAAGTTGATAAACCCTGTACTGTTCTTCAGGGCAGCGACCGCCAACGGCAGGTGGCATAAACATGAGGTGCCCTGTCGGGTTCTGCCTCTCGCTTCTTCTCCTCCCACCCATCATCCACAAACTGACCTATCCCGTACGACCAACCAATCTTCTTTCTACAGTAAGGTACCTTAGGTATTGGAACCTACTACCTGAGGCAGCTAGTGCCCCTGTTCCATTGCTAGGAGTCTGGCCTTTAAATTATTTCCACCCAATAACTTGGCCGTCCCTATCACTTATGTCATTTCCCTCTCTCAGCGCCAGATCTCGGGTCTTTCATCCCTTGTTCTTCATTATTGAGGTGTTTCTGCCTCAACTCTGTGGCATTACATGGGACTAGACTCAGGCTGCTTGCACATGCTGCACACAGATACAAACAATATTGCCTACCTACCTAGGTACCTTGCATCCATGGCGCCACTCCCTTCTTGGGCCGACCGCATGTGTACCCTGACAGCCAACGAGATCTTGTATTAGATCCATGTACTTCCAGAGAGAACGGTTTCCCATGTACGAAGATGGATGGTTGGTCTTATTAGATTCCTTCTTGTGATTTTTGGTTAGCGTTCCTCCGTGGTTAATCACGATAGATATCGTAATGTGTCGTGTGGATTGAGTCTCAAGTGTCGTTGTGAGCTTTTCCCTGCGGCCGGGTTGTGTATTGCCCCACGACCCTTTAACAAGGTAGTTCAACTGGTCGGTACGTTTTTTTTTTTCCCCTTTGAGGGACAGTCTCTTTTGGGGGGTGTGCCTTTTCATCCGTCCAAGGAATCTTGATTCGACGACCATTTGACAACACCGTGCAGCATTACCCTCTGCAGCCAGGATCGTGGCTGCCTACACTAAATCAACCGTCATCTCTACCTTTTCTTGTGCCGAACGTGCACCAGAGACGGGTCTCGACGTACAGAAATGTACTTTGCCTCTTGACGTCTTCTTTCAATCCTCAGATCGGCTGTCTACTGCAGGATGTGACTCAGACCAGCCATTCAACGAGACATGGTTGCCGTTTCAAATTGCCATCTCTGTGATTCATAGGTAATAGCAAATTGTGCGAAACGCGACTGAACTTGGGCCACATAGGAGCATGATCATATTGATGCAAATCGCCATTTTCTCAAATGGATTCTCCACCTACTTGCGAGAGCCTCATCTAGCTGCAGTATATTCACAGTAGTAGTATATCTCAATTGTGTCAATTCGGTGAAACAAGGAGCCACCTGTCAGGAGTATTAAGCAGTCGCTGGCATGCGCAATCAAGACCAAACTCGACAAACTAGAATACCTAGTAGGTACGTAGTTAGTAATAAGTGAAAGTCCAGGGTAGCAATGCCTACTTGGCATTTCCGCTAGTTAATGCTGCTAGCACCTGGTAAATTATAGCAATGAGGGAGTCAAGACAAGCATACCTTGAACCTAGGTGGGTACCTACAAGTAGGTATGCCTGTACCAGTACTATAACAAGTCGAAGAAAGACTCCTGGTCAGGATTGGAAGATGCCCGTACCATACCCAGGCCGAGGGAATACTACCTACCATTCGATCATCGAATCGTCAACCTAATCCAATGAAGACACACCGAGCAAGGCCTCGCTTGCTCAAAGGGGACGACAAAACACCAGCTACTGAACTATCAAGTACTCACAGTAGTACCAGGTACTGAGGTAGAAGACCATGTAGTACATGACACTGCAGGGCATACCTACCTACTTAGGTACCTAACTTCTAAGGTAAGCCTGGGTAACCTCTAATCCATCCAACCAGAGCCAGCCCCGGCCACGTTGGTGGAGCTGGCTTCATACGCCAGCTCAATCTTAGCCCTATTACCGACTCCCTTCCGTCAGCTCACACACGAGGATCTCAACATCATCATCACACACTCGATTTTTTCCCTCACAGGTAACGGTCAAGGCTACCTCTAGCCAGGTTTGGCGATGGAAGAAATCCCTGGTGATTTGGGCTCTTTACTTGAGAACCAGTTGGCATAGATTTTGCATAGCTTCAGCTATGCTAGCCATCATTGGCCAACTACTCCGTAATAAGATGGACAATTATGTTCGTCGCCATAGTATCTCGGCAATGATGTCCAGTCTGACGCACCGAGAAGAAGGATATATTAGCTGGTTCGCCCTCATCTGGTATGGTTAGCGGTGGTTCAAGCCAAGGTATCCGTAGCTACGCTGAGATGAGTACCCGTGGTCGATTGTCTGTTGAAACCCTGTTCTGTTTTCAAATGCATCAGAAGAGATGTGGGATGGAGTAGTCTGTGCCTGTGATGGAGCTTAGTAGAAGTCCGACGATAGAAATTTCAGCGGAGGGAGGTAAATGAACATGCATGTCACTCTATACTGGTGATAGTATATAAATACGCTAGACGCATGCCATCTGGGAGAGCCCATACTCAGAGAGCGACACAAAAGCCACAGTTGAGAGAATACCATCCAGCTGAATTAACGTAAGGACCTCATCTTAATATTTGGGGGGTTTCTCAGGCAGCGTCACAACTGAAGACAATTCTTTGTCAACTACAAAGTACTGCGCATTTGTTCGATTGAGTCGAGGGAGGGCGTGTAAGGGTGTGGGAGATGCAACGGAAAATGTGGATGACTTGGCGCCCCATGCTCCATGCTCTGGAGTTACAAGTTCACTCAGAACCACATTCTTCTTGAAATATCGTCTCAAATGGCCCCGTTATCAGCAGAGCGTAACTCTCGTCCAATGCCCGTGGCTGGCGACGGGACTTGCGGCGATAGTCTCCAGGGCAGTTTGGCTTTTCAATATGAACGTCGTCGACATGACGAACTGGGCTGGGCAAATTTGGTATGGTGTTAATGGCAGAGAAGGACTAAAAAGGTTGCCGAGTCTAATTGAGGAAGAGACGACCAGACAGAAGATACGGCTGGACAGATTAGGAACCGGAAAAGGACATCTCTTTGTCTTTGACAACAGGTAGAATTGAATTACATGGATGAATGGGGGAAACTGAGGATTGATGATATCAAGGCTGCTTAGATACTTACCTTAGGTAGACAGGTAGACTCCATCATTCGAGAAAGTTATGTATCCTGTTGACGGGCGCACGCCTCTCCATCGTTTCTCTGTATGCAGCATAGTCAAATGACCTGCAAGTCCTTGATAGTGACGATGCAGGCCGTGGCATTGTATATCTGATCGACTTGGTATGAACAGTCGTATTTCCTCAAAATGATCGGTTCAGCCTGGCCAACGGCAACCCCAGCTTCCTTGGTCTTGTTAGCAGCCCAGTTTTCAGGCCATAGGATTTTCCCACCAAAAGCCGATCTGATGCCTCGACCGCAACAGTCGCAATCAAGGCCAATCTGTAGTGACCGGCTTTGTAGTGGTTCTCCCCCCGGCATGGCCTGCTCTCTGTTGTGGGAGGACCCGTGGACCCATGGGCACGCCTCAGAGTTGGGTTGAGATCCGTCGGCTCGTCAGTGCTGCGAGACCTAGATGGGCCCCGTGGAGACTAGAGAGTAACACTGATGACCAGGGCAGGGTGCGGCATGTATGTAGAAGTGTGGTTTATCTTTATCGTACAGGGGGTAGAACCTGGGCTTCAGTGTCTGCGAATCAGCCGCCACCTGATTAGTGGCTACTTATCCGCTACAAGCTCGGCCTATCATCGCCCCCAGTGTCCTCTTAGCAAAGTGGGTGCATCGACCAGGCCAGGGCCGCCGCCTCGGGGTGCCAGTGCAGTGTGCAGTGCCAATGCTAGGACGTTTCTTCTCCCGGCGCCTGGGAATCATGCCTCTTCCTTCTTCTTCAACTTATTACACACTCCAACCTGCAGGGCATACGATATCTATTTCGAGTCTCAACTTATACCCTCCAAAGTAGTGAAGCACTCAAGCGGCCTCGATCTATTCTTATTCCACATCAGACAACTATACGAACCTCTCCTGCCGTCTTCATCATTCACAACTTCTGCCATCCAGCCATCACCTCTGGGCATGCCTTCATACGCGATTCACCACATCTCGTTGTTGCGCAAGTGATTCTCTCTTGAATGTCATGGCACAACACAATGTGAGTAGATATGGAAATCTAACGTAACTTGATTACCGTCCAATTTTTTTTCCACACGATTCTTTTAAATATTTGTACTTTTACTCTCGTGCCTCACTCACTCACTCACTCACTCACTCACCTACCTCACAAAGCTGTGAGGTCGCGATCGCGATTGGGCCCATTCTCTAACTCGACACTTAGGATTCCAACACCTCTGACCCTGGTGCTCAATCTGTGTCAGGCCCGATGACCAATCAATCGAGTTTGGACAGCGCAGCCAAAGAAGCTGGGGCAGACTCAGCCTTTCCATACGGCACACGTTCCCGTAACAGAACTGGTACTTCGCGTATTAACTACGCCGAGGACAGGGACATTGATGCCGATGTTTATGACTACTATCACGACAAAAAGGACAGTGATTCCAAAAAGACTTCACGCCAGTCCAGCGCTGCTGTGAATGGCGATGGGCCTCGTGGCGGTGCAAGCTCGCGCAAGGCTGGCACAGATGAGCAAAAGGCAGCGCAGGTAGCGAATGCTCCCAAGGAGCAACGGTCGGGCAGTTCAAACAATGTGCCCACGACAACGCAGCAGCCGGCTGCTTCACAGCCTGCACGGAAGCGCAAGGTCGCGGGTAATCCAGCTGGTTCCACTAACCCAGCGGCATCCGTCAATAATTTGACCAAAAAAGCAGCAGCATCCGGGACGACTCCGTCTATCGTATGGCCAGAATCTAATATGCTGACTTTTGACAACTGCAAAAGTCGCCCTGTCAATGGTAAAATGGTGGCCGATGATGGTACATCGCTGGAGCCAAATGGTAACATGCTTCCTTCAGAGTGGTCCACCAGAAATTCGGATCAAACGTGGCTAACCTGGCGACGCAGATCATGTGTACCTTGTCTGTGAGCCACCTGGAGAACCCTATTACCTGGGCCGCATCATGGAGTTCCTTCATGTGCAGAATGACAGCAGCAAACCCGTGGAAGCTGTTCGCATCAACTGGTACTACAGACCCAAGGACATTGGCCGAAAATCTACAGACCTCCGAATGGTTTTTGCAACGATGCACTCCGACATCAGCCCGTTGACGGCGCTACGCGGAAAATGTCAGATTCACCACAAAGCTGAGATTGAGGATATGGAATTATATCGAAAGGCCCATGACAGCTTTTGGTACGACAAGCTGTACGACCGCTATATCCAGAAGAACTACGACTTGATTCCGACGCGTTCTATTGTCAACGTCCCAGCCAATGTGAAAAAGGTTCTCGACGAGCGCTGGAAATACGTGCTAGTCGAGCAGGGGCGTGGCAAGGAGCTCACTAGCGCCGTTAAGCTCTGCAAGAGATGCGCCGGCTATTGCGCAAGGTACGTACCTACTGACTTACACTGCCTGCCCCACGTCCCACATCCACATTTACAAACCCATGCTTCAGTGGCTGACATGATTGGTTGTCTTCAGCAACGACTCTGTCGACTGTGCAGTATGTCAGAATACATACCATATGAATTGCGTGAACCCACCTCTATTGAAGAAGCCGTCCAGAGGGTTTGCCTGGTCATGTGCAGCATGCAGTCGAGCCCAGGAAAGGAAGCTGGAGGCTCGTAATACGCCTAATGTTAATGATCCAAGCTTCGATGCCGAAGATGATGATCCTATGGATGAAGAGGACGAGGAGATGCAGGGGGTTGAGACTAATCGGACCAGTCCCGAAGAAGGAGACCATACTCACCACGAGGGCACTGCCGAGCAAATATACCAGGCCTCTCTTTGGCCTTACCGGTATCTCGGAATGCATTGCAAGCCCGAAGACGCACTCGACTACGACGACAGAATTTATCCCCGCGCAAGTACGAGAATTGGACCCAGAAATCAAGCAAATGTTTCCCCGTGGCCTGGAAAGCCGGTCGAGTACGTCAAGCCACTTGAGATCAAGAAAAACGGCAAGAAAGACACCAAATCCAAGGAAGCATTGGCTGCTATTGAAGCCGATAAGATCTCACGTGGGAAGCGACCGAAGTGGGTTCAAGACATGCCCCCCGGCTACACAGCTCGGGGAGAAGATTTTGACAACGACGACCCCAAGTGTACCGCAACTCGCTTGTGGATTCCTCCCCCAGATAAAGTGATTAAAGAGAAGGACATTAACGAGTACATGGAAAAGGCCAAGGGAATGACAAAAGATCTCGGATTGCCTGAACGTTCGACCAACCTGCAAGACGTAGCTGCCAACAAATTGTTCCTTGCAGAATTCGACACGCAACATGCCCTCAAGGATCTTTCCGAGACCAAGAAGGAGGCATTCAAAGAGCCAGAACTGACACCAGCAGAGCAAAAGAAATTTGAGGAAGCAGTGATAAAATACGGCTCTGAACTTTATCTTGTGAGAAAGCACGTCAAAACTATGCACTATGGCATGGTAACTCGTTACTACTACGCCTGGAAGAAGTCGGCACGTGGGAAGCAGGTCTTGGAGAACCAGGCTGGTCGCAAAGGGAAAAAGGAGGCCAAAAGAGCAGAAGCGGCTGCCAGTAAGCTGGCAGATGATGTTGCGGATAACGATGACGATTCTGCGTTTGATATTGAGAAAGCAAATCAGAAAAAGCAAGGATTTATGTGTCAATTCTGCTCCACGACTTTCTCGCGACAATGGAGGCGCGCTCCGAACCCCGTTCCCGGGATCGTCAACGATGGGGGCTCGAAGAGCTCGAGTAAGGAAAAGGGCCAAGACCGTGTGGTGGCTTTGTGCCGTCGCTGCGCTGAGCTATGGCGCAGATATGCTATTCGATATGAAGATGTGGACGAGGTTTCCAAGAAGGTCAACCAGGGCAGCGGCCGAAGCTGGAAACGGAAGCAAGACGAAGACCTTCTCAGGGAGTTGCAAGTCGCGAAGGAAATGGGCATGATGACGCCGGAACGGGCACCGACCCCTTCAGCGGCCCCAGCTGTTGCCACCGTGCAAGAACCGCCACGGAAGAAGCTCAAAGGCGCAGCTTCTGACAAGGATGTGGACAATGGTCACTCGGATGCAGCTAGTGCAACCGGCTCTACCACTTCAAAGAAGAAGGACAAGAGTGTGGAAAACCTTACAGTCCCCGATATTCCGAAACCTCTGGTGCTGCCTTGTGCAGTCTGTGGGCAACTGGAGCCTCAAGGGGAGCAGCACTTGTCGTGCCGCGAATGCCGCCTGACGGTACACCGCAACTGCTATGGTATCATGGATAATCGAAACCCCGGGAAATGGACTTGCGATATGTGTGCGAACGATAAAAACCCACAAGTCTCAATCGTATGTTGTTTCAAACCCATCTATGCGCCTGCGCTAACGTCCACCTAGCATTATAAGTGTGTTCTTTGTCCCATTGAGTACACAGAACATGATTTTGTGGAACAGCCGAAAGTAACACATCACAAAAAGAAGATGTCGGAGAAGGATCGTGAGCGAGAACGCCTGGAGGTTCAGCAAGCTCGGAAAGCTGCGGACTTTTACCGCAAGAAGCAGGAAGAGATGAATCGCCCCGTCAACCCCCGGGAACCACTCAAGAGGACCGCGGACAACAATTGGGTCCATGTTACCTGCGCTGTCTGGACCCCAGAAGTCAAGTTTGGTAACGCCAAAGCACTGGAACCTTCAGAAGGTATTCCTTCGATTCCCAGGAGCAGATATGATGAGACTTGTCAAGTGTGCAACAAACAGGATGGAGCCTGTGTGTCGTGCCATCAGTGTCGCATTCCATGTGAGTCCCAATGATAGAGAAGAAAAAGATTGGCCATACTGACCGATTATAGTCCACGCGGAATGCGCTCGGCAACATGGACATGTTCTTGGATTTGAGGTGACATCTGTGAAAAGTTCGCGAAGAGACCAGTTTAGCATCGTGGCCATCAATGGGGAGAGTGGCATCATGTCGGCAACTGTATGGTGTAAGGATCACGCCCCCACGAAGACTACGATTCATCAGATGCACGATATTGTGGATGAATCGGGACTTAATGCTTTACAGCTCTATGTACAGAACTACAAGCAGGCCGACCTGGCACTGACAGGCACAGTCCGCAAGGCCAATCTCATGACAAACGCCGCCAAGTTGTCAGGTACAACGACTCAGCTTGGCCTACGCAGGTCCTCGACAACAAATATTCCGAATGGCGGGTGGGGCCAGCAGCGAAATGGGGATACGTCAGACGTGGCATCAGACTCAAAACAACCAGGAGAAAAGGTCTGCATCACCTGTGGTATTGACACCAGCCCGAAGTGGTGGCCGATCGATAATTCGCAGGAACGCGAACTAACCAATGGGCATTACGGCACACTCGGGAGCGAAGCACAGAAATTCGTGGAACAGAGACGATTCCAATGCCATAAATGTCGAAAGGCCCAGCGTACAGCAAAGCCTCACCCGCGGGGGTCTCCTCTCATGGCAGACGCTCCATTACCTTCGGCTCACAGCGCAGGCATACAAGGTACGACAACACATGCTTTGCGCAGTCCGCCACAGATGGTGCCTGCCCCTCGGGAGACCAATTCTTCTACTGCTTATGCCTGGCCTCCACCAGTTCATGCTCCGACAGGTCCTCCACCACCAATGCAAGCGCCTGCCCTCGTCGCAGATCATGCCCTGGGCGCCCGGCCTCCCCCCCCTGCCCCATAC